CTAGGAATGAAACAAGTAGTAGATTAACCTAACTAGGGAATGAAACAAGTAGTGGATTATCTAACTAAGGAATGAAACGAGTAGTAGATTAACTAACTAAGGAATGAAACGGGTAATAAATCAAACACTCGGGGATGAAACAAGCAACAGATCAACTAAATATTTAGGGAAAAAAGAAATGACAGACCAAAAAACTATTTAGGGAAGAAACAAGGAATACGTAAACAACTAAGAAATGAATCAAACCCCAGCTTATAGAGTAGGCCATTAAATTTAACGCTCTTCCACCGGAGAACCCACATGCTTCTATCATGCTCTCAATAAATTGTGGAAATAAAATTAGATAAGCAACATATAATTCCTTACGATAAGATCAGAAAAGTTTTGATGACCAATCATCATAGCACTAGGGTCCCAGTAGAAGGACAGATCATCTAGCTGTAACAGTTTCCTCATTGTATCTGTGCTGCTACTGGAAACAAACTTTGCAGTCTATAGAAAGAATGAAGAAATTATTTTATCAAGAATATTACTTAAAATACATGGTATCCTTGTATTAACTTAATCAAAAAAGTAGCAGAGAATTTTGCATTTAAAAAAATAGTTTTGTAATTGATGTGCTTAAATATCAAAAATAATAATAATAACAATACAAGTAGTTTTAAGGAAATAAAAAAAATTCTTTGCAACTTTATTTATTTTGCAATTTAAAAAACAGATTTTTTTAACAATTGAAAATTGACAAGAGAATCAGATATAAAACTATTTTACAGACTCAAATTAATATCTTACTGACTATCAGAGTAAATGCAGAATAGTTAATCCACTTTACACTTTCATCTCCAACTCATAATCAAACACAGGTTTTATTGTTTGCTTGTTGAACAAAACAACATCGAGCTACCGGCTGTGTCCACTACAGTGAAACAAACCGTCGATTTTAGCATCGTAAGTCTGTAAACTTATCACCGTCCCCTGGGGACCCGGTTTTATATACAGCACAGTAGAAATTTTAAAAAAGGGTTTTTTCCAAACAAATTATTCATCTTCTTGTACAGTGGAGTTTTATATTGCAAACTCACCCAGTTTTCATCTGTGCTTTGTGCCGATAAGTTATGTATAATGAATCCACATGCAAATGGTGACTCTGGGTTTGTTTGGTCATCTTCGTAACGTACGTGAACATCTTTGATCTTTAACTGAAAAAACAAACATATTTCTGAAAGTAGTGCACAAAGAAATTCAGAAATATACACATTAATACTGTTCAGCTATGTCTGATTGTAAAAAATATCACTGTGATTATTTTTCCATTATACGTGAATAATGCAGAAATAGATGTTTTCAAGGAATGTTTAACACATAACCACAAGTTAAAACATCCAACTTATGAAAACTTATTGATGTAAAAGTCAGTTAAATAGACTAGCAGAAATACTCGCCCACCAGACAGGTATAACTACTAGTTCGTACGGAAGGCTATTGGGCATGCAGCCTTTTCTGGAATTGTCTGACGGTTCTATACAACAGTGTACTCATACTTGACATTCAATAATGTTCACCACCCATGAGAAAAAGAATTTTATTGAAATTTTAGTTTCAAAATGAGCTATCATCACAGTATTACATCACAGAGTAGATTTTATTGAAGTATTTCTTTGCAGATGCAGTTATCAATGAAAGTGCCTTACTTTTCTGTTGCAACACTCATGAGATTTTCACTAAACCAATAATTTTTTGTTAAGTTTGTTTTTTTATTGTTTTATATTTGAAACTTATTCTTTTTTTTGTAAATTTTATTGGTTAAATTTGAAACTTATCAATTTTGTGGAAATTTCAATTGTTTTATTTATTGCTCAGCTATAAAAATACTGCCTAGTTATAAAAATAATACCCACATATGACTGGTGATGATTGATGCGGTACTTATCGAGATCCGAGTTTTGGATGCCTACATCGCAAGCTCCA